GGGGGGGGGGGGGGGGCACTAAATACTGTCTGGTAATAGAGGGAGCTACTATTACTGTGTAGTATAGGGGGCACCACTACTGTCTGTTGATAGAGGGAGCTACTATTACTGTGTAGTATAGGGGGCACCACTAACTACTGTTTGGTATATAGGGGGCACCACTAACTACTGTTTGGTATATAGGGGGCACCACTAATACTGACTTGTATAGGTGTTTACTCTAGCACTGTCTGGTTGGTGTGGTGCCACAACCAGTTTTGTATAGGGGTGACAGTACTGGTGTGTCTTACAAGGGAAGCACTGTCACTTTGGGAAATCTTAGTTAGATCACATTAAAGTTGTAAGCTGTTAAGTGTGATTTTTCTTACATTTTTACCTTGAGGATGAACTTAAGAAGGGTCAACTCATTAATCATAGCAAGCTTTCTGGTGATAAAGACTCAAAGAATGCTGTCGCCAACAGGTCTACTCTCATAAGAATTAAGAGTTTGATAGACCCTGAAGCAGACCTAAATTTTAATCGGATAATCTGTTATGTGACAAAATTAATCATTCTTAGTATTAATTTGTCAATTTACATGTGTGGAAACACTGTCAGCCTGGTTTGCCAGAGTTTTGATACCAGGCATCAGATGTGTTGATAGGACAGTTATATCTATTATCAAATGTCATGGAGATTGTCATCACAATGTTTAACCTCTGTTATTATAAGTGACATATGGTGAAGGAATGCCACAAAGTCAGCCTAACATCCTAGTACAACAACCAGTCACATTGCTCTTCATATATAATGATTAAAAAACCCTTCAAATTTTGGAAAACTATGTGTAAAAATATAGATATTTTTGTTTATACTAATTGAAAGTGATCATTTGGATTCTGAATTCCAAACCAATTATAAAAATTTCACAGATTTGAAATTTACCAGAAGTGTAATTAAAATATCCCAACACTAATCTTCTATATACATGCCTTAAACAAATATTTTTCTGCTACATTTTCTGTATTTTTTTGTCTATATTCATACAAAGACAGTTATAGGTTAAGATGTGGTCTTTTAAGACAGAAAGAGCTTTTTCTAATCAACCCCACGATACATGCAGGAATGTCGCACAAAATATCGTGACATATAGGGCAGTAGTTCACACATATATACCCTGCTTTGTATTCAAGATGCCTTAAGTGTAAAAACCTTGTAGCAAAGCTAAAATGTTCTTGTGAAGAAAGGAAATGATAGTTAAAATATAGTTCTTCAGTAGGACTCTTTGCTATAGTCTATAGGCACGTAATGCGAAGTCAGAAAATGACAAACAAATTGGAACTCTTCTTCATACATGAAGAGTGCTGGGACATTCTACCTTAACTCATTCACCCCTGAAGACACATTTGAACTCTTCCAATTCAAAGGTTGGAAAAGTTCATTAAGAAATTTCAGGGGTGAAAGAGTTAAGATAATGAATACAGCCAAGTGTGGAAAGGACAATGAGGTCAGTTAAAGTTAGATCTGTGGTCAGAAACGTTAACAGTGGAGTCAAATTCAATCTCCATATCTACATGTCACCACAGGTCTGGTTTGTGCCTTAGATATTGGACAATATGTTGATCATGAAAACTACATCTTTGTCAAGTTTGGTTATCTGTAGGACATTCTGAAGGACATTGATTTACTTAACTACCATTGGTTAGATGACCTACGGGAGATAGAATGAACACCCAATGTCAGCGTGCTGCATAAAGTTCAAAGCATGTGGTCATGTTCACACGATACTGCCAACAGATATAACGTTTATTGCCTCCTCCTTCTCAACAGATTTCCATGTGATGCGCATGATACCTGTAATTGGATAAATCCCATAAGAAGTGAGGTAACTCTTCATAAAATGGAAAACGGTAACAAAAATAAAAATATACAGCATTTGATATAGCGCCCTCTCTAACTAACATAAGCCACTCTAAAGTGCTTTACAGTACATAATTACAGTACATAATTATACAATTAATACAATTAGCATATACATTAATCAATACACTTTTGAGGAATTGGCAGGAGCTGCCTTATCAGGCACTAACTACCATGCAGTCCTATGCCACCTGGCTGATATCTCCCTATGTGTTTATGCCTGTGTGTGTGCTGGAGATGTAATGACAATTGCTATGCACTGATTTGTTGTTTAAGTTCCAGTTCCATCAGCAGCCTTTGGAATACACTAACAAATACTATAAGTGTAGGTATAAAGCTTTGATTGATGTCTGTCACTAAAATCTGTTCTACTGATGACCTAGATTGTAAACTGGTCACACTATATGTGTAGGTATATAATCCAAATCTGGGGTCAAAAATATGTGCAATTTTGTGCAATTAATTGCATAATTCATCTAATACATTATGTAAAAAGTGGATAGCCTTTTTCTCCTACCTTGAATAATTGTGATATCTTTGTTCCGTGTGTCATCCTAGTGAGGGGGGGAGTTATATTAATAACAGGGTAAGAGAAAATGAGACATTTACCCTCCTGGGTGTTTAATTGGGACATCTCAACATTGTAGAAAGATTCTTCAGCTACCAAACATACAGCAAGCCTTGTCAACTGAATGAGGGGGGTTAAATGTCAATCATGTATTACGACTTTTCATCACCAGCATAGATATAGTACATGAAAATTAATGATGTTTGAAGGTTTACGTTTCATACTTTACATTGCCAGCCCTAGAATATATAAATATATCAAAATTGTGATATTAGTATTTCTTATGTTATGTTAATTGTCAAATTCATCTTTCTTCATAGGAAGCCATTTTAGGATCATAAAAGAAATCTGAAAGGTTCAATTATGACCATTGTGATGGGTTACTCTTGGAGATTAACCGTAAAATCATTTTTAATCTTTAAAATCTGTCAGACTGTCAGCTTTGGGGCAGACATCAATAAATTGACTGTCTCCAGGGAATTGCTCATATGGCAAATTAAGGGTTGGCTATAT